GGCGGGTACAGCTGGCTCTGCCTCTAGATAGGCACAGCCAGCTGTCACTCACGCAGCTGGGCGGATCCCGTCATCTAAGTCGGGATCCGCTCCAGGTGCGGCGTCTCAATATACCGCGAGCTGTAGCTCCCTATATACTGAGCTTAGGGTGACGGGAGGACGCTAGTTTGTGTCCTCCCGTTACCCCAAGGAGAACTATGGGGAAAAACACTGACCCCATAGTTCTCCTTTAAAGGAGAACTATGGGGGGCGGGGGTGCTTTTCACTCACCTCATAGTTCTAGCTGACCTGTGGCAATGAGACTGTCACAGGTCGGCTCAGTAGATCGGGAAGTGAGGGAACACATAACAGCGTTCGCTCACCTCTCGATCCCGTCACGGCTCTCTGCCCTGACAGGGGAGGGTCTGGATTCCCCCCTCCACGCTCCGATCCTCCAGCGCTGACTGGCAGAACGGACGGGGGAGGGGGCGGGTACAGCTGGCTCTGCCTCTAGATAGGCGGATAGGCGGAGCCAGCTGTCAGTCACGCAGCTGGGCGGATCCAGACATAATTGTCGGGATCCGCTCCAGGCTGCGGCGTCTCAGTATACCGCGAGCTGTAGCTCCCTATATACTGAGCCTAGGGTGACGGGAGGACGCTAGTTTGTGTCCTCCCGTTACCCTAAGGAGAACTATGGGGAAAAGCCCTGACCCCATAGTTCTCCTTTAAAAAGTCTACATTGTATTCTGAAGAACCGATTAGACTTTCTGGGATGTGGTACCCCATTAATAAGAGATGACGGGCATGTTCCATAGCATTGGATTCTACGATGTTCATGTTACTAGAAAATAACATTCCTGATCGGATATCAAGTGTGGCCAAAAGACGTCTGCGCTTCCGATAGAAATTCCTCTACCATTGCTTCTCGTTGCCTTCATCTTTGCTGAGCAGAACCAGAACCAGCAGCCATGTGCTTAAGAGGCCGAGAGCGTCTCCACGGCTTGGTGTCCTGCTTCAGCAAAGACAGTGCGATGCTTTATAAATGGCGGTGGAGGAAGCAGGCCCGGCGCTACAATATAGGCAGGTCAAACAACTGCTTGATGGCGACAGCGGAAAAATGTGACTGGCCGCGGCGGCTCTGATCACACCTGTCAGCGCTCCCCTCTCTCTCCTGCCGGCCGCTGCAGCTTTAGAGCGGCCAGGAGGAGAGAGAGGGAGCGC